ATTTAAATTCTAACTAATATATTAAGTATTTATTAAGTCTTCTTTACTACTTTTATTTCTAAAATACTATAAACTTTAATAAATAGTATTAAATATATTATTTTAATAAAAGTATTAAAGAAAGAAGATATTAAATAGCCTTAGAAAAGTATTTAATATAGTATTAAAAAAAGCTTTTCTACTAAGGTAATAACTTTAGTAGTATTAAGAAGTATTTTAGTATTTTAATATACTTTTAAGTATACTAGTAGAAAAGTATACTAATATTTTACTTTAAATTTATAGAATTATTATTATATAGTTATTATATTTAAGCTACTTAATATATTAAGTTCTATAAAAAAGTAGATTTTAAGTATTACTACTAAGAAATAAGCTATAAAGTATAGTAAAGTATATATTACTTTATATTCTTTATAATACTAATATTAATTATTTAATAGTTAGGTATATATAATTTAAAATTAATTTACTTAAAAAACCTCTTATAAACTATTTTAAAATAATTATTAACTAATAGCAGAAGAGTTATACTATAGATATATTACTTAACTTTAGTAAATCTATATATACTATATTAATTAATAATTATATATAGTTAATTAATATAATAACTACTTTTATAGTATAGTAAATCTAGAATTTATTAATTACTATAATTAAATTTATAGTATTATTAATAGTAATAATACTTTAAGATATAGTAAAGAGTATTCTTTTTTTATAAATAATTTTTAAAGAAAAATAATATATAGTAAGTTATAACTACTATTACTTTAGTATTTAATAAGTAAACTAAAATATTACTAAATTATAATTACTTAAATTAAACAGTAAAATTAGTTTCTCTTTACTATAAAGTTATTTTTAACTTTATTATTTCTATATTAACTAAAACTATACCTTAAATTATAATATCTTTATATAGAGAGTATAAATACTTACTACTACCTCTATCTAAAGTGCTACCTTTTATACTATAAGGTATTATAAGAGTTATTAAAAAAATAAGCAAACTTTATATAAGTCTTAGTAAGTTATTAAGCTTAATTTAGAATTAATTTAGAGTAAATTCTTAGCTAATATATAATAAATATATTTTTAAAATTAAAGAAGCTTATTAAATTTATTAAAGAATATAAAGAGAAATACTTATTAAATATATATAAAAGCTTAGCTAATACTAATTATCTTTAAGCTATTATTTAGAAGAAATAAATAATACTTTTCTCTTTAGGCTTATTAAGAATTACTATTTTTTATAAA